AAAACAGGATTTATAAATGAATAATGTCAATGAAATCCCCGATTGCTCAGTAGTAACAAAACAAACATGGACACATTATTTAGTAACACTGAGCTCCTTACTCACACACATACACACAAAACAGGATTTATAAATGAATAATGTCAATGAAATCCCCGATTGCTCAGTAGTAACAAAACAAACATGGACACATTATATAGTAACACTGTGCTCCTTACTCACACACATACACACACAAAACAGGATTTATAAATGAATAATGTCAATGAAATCCCCGATTGCTCAGTAGTAACAAAACAAACATGGACACATTATTTAGTAACACTGTGCTCCTTACTCACACACACATACACACACAAAACAGGATTTATAAATGTATAATGTCAATGAAATCCCCGATTGCTCAGTAGTAACAAAACAAACATGGACACATTATATAGTAACAGTTCGTTTTATGTATTTATGCAGAAAACTTTCAGTAGCTGACAGATTATATAGGAACTTACATTGTCCTTGTTAGTTACTAATATACATAATAAGAAACAAAACAAACTCAATACAGCAGTAGAGTATAGAAAAAAAAACGTACCAGGAGAATTAAAAGTTTGTAACTGAACAAACTTTCAATACATGGATACATTATACAAACACGTATCAGGATGTATGCGTCGTGACAAAACACACCTTCGATATATATGTGCAGATTATTTATAAGTACATGTATATAAACAGAATGATAAGTTATAGTGTCTTCCTTAAAGAACTAACTTTCGCTATATCGAAACTTGTATTTCCTTGTTCAGTGGACAGAACGAACAGCGCATGTTCAGCATGACAATTATAAATATCAAATAAGATAAATATCGGAAAGAGTGCACAAACATCGATGTTCCTACTCTTTTGTTTTACTTTTTTTTTTGCTTCTTAATTATCTAAGATCTCGATTTGATGCTGAAGGACAAAAACCAAGGAATAGCGCTGTTTGTCTGAAGTAGGCCCGGTCTGTTTACCTCTTAAATACATGTCAATGAAATAATTAGTAGGACGTCACACATTGGCATAGGTGAAAAATGTAGCGAACATGGATTGTTTGTTTATTTCTTGAACTTCACTCAAAGCGACTCGAGAGCCATTTGCTAGCCGTCTCTTGTTTAGAAGTGATAAGACTAGAGGGAAAGCAGACAGTCAGTACCACCTATCGCTAATTTTTCGGTTACTCTTAATGCTCCCACGACTGAAAGGGCGAGCATTTTCGGTGACGAGATTCGAACCCGCACGTCCTAACCACAAATCCATGCCAGGCCTAGCGAGCATGGAAGTTTTCTGACGTTACAGTTATAGAAAGTTAATGTGTATGTATTCAGTATAATTGGTAGTGAACAAATAAGTAAAGTGATAGATGTGACAGGCATATATAATAACTACTGTGTATATACTTGATGTGAATGATACTATATACAGTATAAATCATAAATACTTTGGGAGTAAGCATCTATGAATCAGGAAAACCTTTTTCGAAAATAAAATTTCCAAGATTATCAGCTTTGAAATCTCGCACGCCCATCCTTTTATAATACTGTATCTTTGCAACAAATATTTTGTCTAGTTAATAAGACTTCCATGAATAATTTGTTTTAAAAATCGTAGATAGCATAATAATTGTGTGTAATATTCAAAGTGACGCATCCTGTGTACACAGTACGTACTTTCCTGATAGCCTTGTTGCTGTTTGCCATGGAACGAAACGATTCGTTTATGATTTAGTTTTTGTGCCGTAAGATGAATTCCTTTCCTTCATTTTACTCTGTTTTTAATGTTGTTGTTTTCTTAGTGCAAAGCTACACAACGGGCTAACTGCATTCTGTCCACCCCGGCGAATCAAACCCTGGCTTTTGGTATAAACTTACCGCTGACCCATCGGGGAGTTTTTATTTAATGTCATGCTAGGTTTTTTAATTGCGTTTCGTTCGTTTTCAGGATAATTTGTTGGTTTTCAGGGCAAGCTTTTTTTATATCCATTTATTAAGTTCCTATTTCTCGGTAACTATTATACATGAATTGAATTTCTGTCTTTTTTTTATGATATATTTATTAAATTTCATTACCTTTTTCAGGATGAATTCCATCCATTTATTGAGGCTCTCCTGCCTCACGTAAAAGCTTTCTCGTACACCTGGTTCAACTTGCAAGCAGCTAAGAGAAAATACTACAAAAAACATGAGAAACGAATGACTCTGGAGGAAGAAAGAGGTTGCAAGGAAGAGTTACAGGTAAGGAGTTGTGTTAGGAAAATAGAGATGCCTACAATCGTGTGACAAAATAGTGCGGGTAAAATCTTATTTTTTCTTTCTTCTACGTATATGTAATTTTACAGCTGTTAAAAATATGAATGAAATAACACAGGCGAAACGAAATAATTTTGTATTTAATTGAGGAGCATTCCTGAAAGTTGTGTAATAAAAAAAGAAGAGAAAAAAACCGCAGTCTATCAGTTTTCCTGATTTTAGTGAAGTGAAAATAGATAGATAAATGAGCATAGGATAAATATAGAAGAAGATGCAAATAGATAGAAAGAGATAAACAAAACCATTACACACATATATGTGTATGTATGTATGTATATAGTCACACATAGACAAATTTGTGTGAGATAGCGCTCCCTATATAGAGTTTGATTCTTAGTCATTAAAAACGTTTTTGTAATTGAGACATTTTACAAACGTTACACTGTAGAGTAAATGAAAGTATACCCATACAGTGTTCTGAGTAAAGACAATAAAATCTGGGCTGCACTTATTAAGTTGTGTTGGGAAAAAAAAAGTGAAAGTTTCGGGACCTGAAGTACAAAAAATAGAGAAAGAAAAACGAGACACCATAGAAAATTACCCGAGAGACAGCACCACTAAATCTGTGTTAAGATGGAGAGGACAGACTTGAATAGGAAAGTCGCGAGAAAGGAAACGGTACTAATGGTGACTCATTTGTCTCTTTTCAACCAAAACTCCCCCTTTTACTCCCCATTATGTAGAAAGTTAATTCCAGTCGACCAACATTCTTTTACGCATTCCACTCGAACAAGCCTGTTTGAATGAAGTCAGTAAGTTACTTTTATCAAAGCCTGATAGAGAAGAACTTGTGTTTTTATTCATTCAGGGCAGAGAAGACTAATTTGTGGATCAAAATTATTCTCGCTGTCTCTAGTTTTGTGTTAGATCAGACGGGCGTGAATCTGGTTAATCATCTCTGTTCAATCATATACAATGTGTTCATCGAACTTAACCTACTCTGTGGGGAAAAAAAAATAATCTCCTAACGAGCACGATAACAGATGCTAATCAGCGGATCCCGTCCTACGTAGTAATGAGAACGAAAAAATACCGTACAGGCCCAGGCCAATGTAGAACAAGATTGTTCCGAACCAAAGAAGCATTGGACCATAGATAATTCTTTGTATCGTATTGTTGTAAAATGATGGTAACCTTTTTTACACGTTAAATACTTCTATTAAATTTAACTTAAAGTAATAGAAATGTTACTGATTAATTCATACAACTTATTTATAGCAGTATGATGTGTTGCTTGGACAACAATTACTACTTGCAACAGTGTGATGTGTTGTTTGGACGATAGTTACTATTTACAACAGTGTGATGTGTTGTTTGGACGACAGGTACTATTTGCAACAGTGTGATGTGTTGTTTGGACGACAGTTACTATTTGCAACAGTATGATGTGTTGTTTGGACGACAGGTACTATTTGCAACAGTGTAATGTGTTGTTTGGACGACAGGTACTATTGACAACAGTGTAATGTGTTGTTGGACGATAGGTACTATTGCAACAGTTATAATGTGTTGTTGGACG